AATTAATATACTCAGATACACCAAATATTCTAAATTAATAAATATGGAAAACGCCTGATCTAATTCATTACCCAACTGTTGTTGCGGATTTGTGAAGCAAGTTTCATACTCTCCTTCTGGTGTAACATCACTCATTTTGTTTAAGAGGCTTTCTCGAGGAATTCGATAATTTTGAAACATCATAAAGCTGAAACAAGAAAAATTATAAATTTCAAGTTTCATCACATAACTGCACAATAACACAAGTAGTTTATTTACCCGTTATCTATCCCGTTTAGTCCCAATTTTTCTCCCATATCTCCAACAATAATTCCAGTGTAAGGTAGTAGTGTTTTCGGATCTCTTATTGGGACCACAAATGCATGTAGACCATGACATTCTCCATCAGCTGTAATTAACTGGGCAAACAATATTGCATAGGTGCAGGTTTTACCTGGAAAGTAATAAACTGATAGGAGCCTCCTTGTAGCATGAAAAATTACTGTGAAAACACTAAAATGTAATATTACTTACCAAGATTTCCCACCCAACACTTGGCAGCTAAAAAGTCAGGAGTGTGTATAATAAACTCTTGTGTTTTTGGATCATACGTTGCAGTTGTTCTCATTTTTTTCGTATTACTTCCATGGGCCACCTCAGTAAGAGCCAGGCAACTTAAAATCTGTAAGATAGAAATGTTCACTGACTTGCTTTTAAAATGATTACTATATCTATTATGATTTTCAATTAAATAGAAAATTGAAAAACTTCTAGCCCACCAGAAAAAGGAACAAAATTCTTCAGTTAATGGTGCATTAAAAAAATGTACAGGAGTGTAAATGTTAGTATAGATAATGATAACAATGGGGTTAACAGAGCAATCTGAAACATTAACAATAATTTGCAGTTCAATGTATAAGAGCAAAATTAAAAATAAACACCGTATGAAGTATTTATTTCTTTTATCACAATATTTATAGTCCAATAGCATAAAAAAAGACTGCTTGAATGTAAACATATCTTACCTCACCAGTCCAAGTTGCTTTGTAAAATGGTAGATGACGTTCTGTTCCCAATGACAAAACAGTATTTGTACATAAAGCTATACCCAGAGCGAATTTAACAGACAGATCCATGTGAAGGGCAGCTGTTGCTTCATTTATTGTCATCATGCATCTTGTCTTTAGGAAAATAAACACATGTCAATTATAATATTTCTTCAAAACTTACCCTTAATGTTAAATTACAATGCTCACTTTTTTCTTATATTTGTTATTCATTATTTCATTGCTGTAAAATCCAAATTGGTGAAATTTGGCAAGCTGTAAAGCTGCACGTCGCTTTTGCTCTTCAGATGATGGTGTAACAGGGAGATGATGAAAGATGTGATCAGAAAGTAATGTCTCCCAAACTTTCATCTAAAACACAAGTATCATTGATATGTGAGCTGTCAAGTCCTTTGAGAACTGTAAAAGAACCTACAATATATTCTAAAAAAATATGACTACTTGTACAACCTTGAGTTGCAGCATATCTTTGTCTTCAAATATTAATTTTAATTTTTTCCAGTCAAAAGATACTCTGCATCTGTATTTGTCCAAGGGTCCTGGAGGCATATCTGGAATAAAACTTGTGTCTTGTGAAGCCATTCTCTTAGTGGGCAGTCACTGCAACAGGGAAAACACGCAATATATCTTATTACACTGCTGCTCTTAATTTTAAAATATACTTTCTGAAGCATCTACTTTTATAATTATTAATAACTATGTACTTAAAAATATGCATTTGGTCTACTGTGACAGACAAATCATATGTACTTAAACGAAAAATCTGAAATAGAGGCTGGGTATTCATCACATGCAAAATAAATTCCCATGAATGCCCGCCTTTACATTCAAAAAGTTTCAACTAATTTTATGTCAGCTCACTTAATTTCGACCATGAAATCATTAATTTGAAGTCTTGTGGCCTGTTACTTATCAAACTTTTCTACGTCAAAATTTCACATTTTTCTTAACAGGGTACTCGCCCGTGAACGAGTAATGTCAGCAACGTTGTTTTTAGATATCACCGAGTATATCACTCGTAAGTATGATGTGTTGATAACGTAAATGTACCTTAAGGTAGATCAATATTTCAAAAACTGCCGGCAACATGCGCTTTCCCGGTGAAGTACTACACGAAGCGTTCAGTGAATCCTTATTTGTTCGAAACGTTCGGCGACCATGTGAATGATTTCAATTTCGGGCACGTGCTCTACTGAATGACGTAATCCACTTGCCGCTGCACTGCCTGTTGCTTTGGTTCTGAGCAACAGAGACGCCCCCGCATGCGGAGAGCCACGGTGCAGCCCGCCCAGCCCGCCACCGCCTGCCGCCGACGTACAGACATCACGCCTCCCTTTGTTTAGCCTTGATACTCTCCCGCACGCCGCACCGACCAATGGAAGGCGAGAAAACTCCCGCGCTCATTAAAACAAACGTGCAGAGGAAGCGACGCGCGGGCGGGCGAGTGGCGGAAACGAAGAGTGGACCAGAGCGTCTCGGCAGGAATGCTTTAATGCGTGCTTCAGTCTTTGTGTTAGTTAAGCTGATTACGGGACATTTCTGTCGCAGCTGCAGGAAAACAAGCACAGATGGAAACAAATTTCGCTTTCTCGTTTCCTGTGATGCGTGACAACACCTTCCGTCGATTGACCTCGACTGCAAAGTAGACTCTCGCAAGCAGATCATTTGATTAGATAATATTTAGAAGAAAGTGAAAGAATAATGTTGCCAGGTTAAGTTCCTTTTATTGACAATCAATGAACAAAAAGTGAGGATACACTGAAATGGAATAAAATATTTTTCGATGTATAATTTTTCTTACCCTTTGTGGTGTGGTGAATTGGGCGGGCTCAAGTTCATTGTTCGGCCTCGAGTGGATTTAGCAATATACCAACTTGAGAGTCCGATCGGGCAAATGCCTGCCAGGACATGGGTGACGTCTCAAACGCACCTATGTTCTCGAGCCAGACCCGAGTCGAAAACATTCTTTTACCAATAGGGTAGGGGGAGCAGGGGGCCGACCCATCCCCCTGAAAAGTTCAAAATGACCCCGTAGCCCTACGTAATGAAAATTTAAATTCCGTTTATATATATAAATTTCATTTTTTCTCGAAAGTATGAATATGACTAATATTCCCTTTAATTTCAAGGCTTTAATTATTAAGTCATTATTGCCATTTTTCAATTTTTAGGTCATTTCATGTTAACATTTGCGTAATTTTTGTCATTTATACGCATTTTGTTTCCTTTTCATGTTTTTTGTTAGTGAATGTTTCACGAATTTACAATGACACACGATTAAAATTATGCTTAACTTTTAGCTTCTGTTAATCGATAATTTTTATACTGTGTTTAATGAATAAACGTCTACATTTTTCTTTATTTTTTTGTTTTGTTTTGTTTTGTTTTTCACGCCCCAAATATATTGAAATAAGGCTTTCGGGATATCGTAGAGAAATGAAACATTTTCAATAGGGAGATTTTCAAGAACAAATGCATCAGTTATTGAGAAAATTTGGTTAGTTCGTCATTATTCGTCGAAACTCAGCCATTTTTAGATCCCGTATCCCTTTTACGAAACTTACAAATTCAGGAAAAGTCTCTTTTCAAAAATTTGTTGCTTCTTTAATTGATGCAACGCGTCTCCAAGCCCCGCGGGACGTTGAGCGCTTTATGCTTCTGGAGTAATCCTTCATTAATATTTCATTATATCCGTCACGTCTCGTCACAGTTAATTGTCAAGAGGACTGCCAAGTAGCATCTCCGCGTACGCGCCTCCTACTACGCGCCCCTGCGTCACTACTCTGCAGCCAGAATTGGGAAGAATTTAGGATTGGGTTTAGGACACTTTACAGAACCTCAGTGATGAAAGGCAAGAGGCCTCACCGCTGAGCCGTGAGATCATCTGAGGTACTTCATTAGAGATACTCAGAAGCTTCTGAGTCAACAAACGTACAAAACAATACGTAAAATAATGTAATTTTTAATGTGAGAGATTATTTTAAAAAATTGTGTAATTTTTGAAAAATCAAAAGAATACATCAAAATGGCAGGTGTGTCATGTTATTCGGTGCGTTTATTACTATCCGCACAAAATCTATCCTCTATCTTAACCTATCCTCTTTATATTTTGTTTGTCAATCTCTTAAAACACTCGTACACATCAAGTTTGCACGAGAATGGTGAGTGAGTGAGTGATCTTTGGGGTTTGGGGTTGCACGAGAAATGGTGCACGCGTGTTAGATCGCAATGCTGAGGAATCCCTAGACATCTTGTGCGGTCTCTACATATCAACGAAAACTAGTGGTGCTACAGAAGGTCACAGACTTTCCCATATTAGTTTTCTATTTCCTTTGGTCTCGGCTAGCTACTCGAACTTGCCACACACTTACGAGCTGCCATCTATTGCCACCCTAAGTACATTCTTTGAACTTTTTAATTTTTCGGTTTAGTAATAGTAGTACGGAAATATATTTTACTCTATTTTACAAGATTTTTAAATAAAAAATATGCAGCCGTTTTTCAGACAATTTTGAACATGTCTAAGAGTGAATAATATCCATACTATGTAAGTAGAAGACTTTAATTCTCTACGACTTTCAAATTGATGTTTTAAAAATACTAAATGAGTGCCTTAACCTTAAAGAACGGCCACAGAACACTCAATGCTTCCTGACCCTAACGATATTGTGACCCTCGCATACTGCAATCTCTGACTCTCGCAGTTGCGTGGTTCACCTGTCGTATGTCGTGGCAGATAGCGCAGTGCTGTTGCCCTCTGTAGGCGACAGTGATAACCTTCCGCCGTGAGTACTGAACCAAGGCAAATGCGATTGATCGACAGCCGTGCGAGAATAATATTCTCGCACGGCGTATGGAATCGTCAATATTACTGCATGAGATAACGTGCAGAAATGTATACATTCTGGAGTAGTCGTAGAGAAAATGTTTTACTTTATTTTGGGTACAAATATATTAGGGCGGGGGTGCTTAAAATCTGACTTGTCTTAAACTTGCATCATTTTCAATCTCTACACTTAATTATAACATATTTACATAATGTTCATTACTCTCATCACTTTCACTATTAGCGTGGTCTTTATACTCTGCCAGCTCGACTTGCCATTGGCTCTTGTAGGGCGTGGCATGTAATTGCCGACCACATATGCACACTTCAATTATTGACATATGTAAAAAACCTTTTGGAGGAACACAATGCACAGTGTTCCTTCAAAGGCACTATGAACAGTGACTTACGTAAATATAAAGAGAAAGTTAGTTAATTATGAAGCGAAAAAAACTAAGCCGGGCTCACTGACAACAGACAGTACGAGCGGAGACAATAGACGAACAGACTTAGAAGACAGATGGGCGGACAGCGGGCAGACCAGGGCAGACCAGGCAGACAGCAGAAAACAGCGACAGACAGACGGGCAGACAGACAGACTGATGCAAGTTTTGAAAAAAAACTTTTAGTGATGCTACATAATGTCATAGATTTTCCCGTATTAGTTTTCTATTTCCTTTGGTCTCGGCTAGCTATTCGGATTTGGCTCGACTAGCTATTCGGAGTAATCAGTGAAAAGCTTACCACTTTATGAGTCTATTACTCTCTTCTTACAAGAAATTTATAGAAAAAAAATGGAGCCATTTTTTGAGAAAATTTTGAAAATGTCCGGGGGGCTTCACGTAAAATAACCCAAAAAATTAATGAATTTTTTTCAAAATCGCAGAGCTTCCACTCAGGCCATATTGACAGGAATTTATTCAGTTTGGAAAAACTCGCATGCCTTGTTTAGGCGCTAGTGTTGGTCACATACGACAGACATACGGTCTGACGTTTAGCTGTTAATCGATATTTCGGTATCAAGGACCCGGTGGAAAGACCTTTTAAAGGATTTTGTTCTTAATTTTGCAACTGGATTTATCCATTTTTTAGTTACCACGGCCCGGCAATGAATTGTATTCTGCTGATCATCCACCGTTTTCCGCGCAGCATTACATAATCTTCCCAATACTGTGTATATTACTCCGTATAAACGTGTGTAAAAATGTAAAGTAAAAATGTGGAGTCATTTTTAGAATAACATTGTTTAAAAATTGCCTTTATTTCGGGAGCTTGTCCCGGTTAAGAGGGTTCCTCGGTGGTGAGAGATACCTAGTTGGAAAAAATCGCGCAAGCCGGTGGGTGGGCTCCAGATCTCGCTATTCTGCGGGAGATAATCATCGCCATCTCACGCGTTAGAAACACGCACTACAGCTTTGCGACCAATGACCTTAGCAGCTGACGCGAATGGTATAAAACAAAGCCTTACTTTTCACGGAACAAACAATTAAAATTTGAGATTTTTTATTTCTATTTGGAATAAAATTATGCCTGTGAAATTTACCTACATTTCAATTATAATTAATTATTTAAACCAAAACGACAAAAACTTGTAAAATGAACATATATTTTTGAGGAAATACCATTTAAAAATGTACCTGCATTTATTGGTTCAGAAACGGGTTACCATTACCAAAACTCTAATTTATCATTTTGTCAGAAAAATAAAGAAAATATTTCGAATTCACGCATAATCAGAATTGTAGTCAGAAATGTGTTGTTGTCAGGGTTGAAACTAAGCATACACATGGGAGCTGGAAACTATTGTGTTATTGATATATCCGTATTACACTCCCCAAGCAGATAAATATAGCCTTGATCAACGGGCAGCAGTATCCAATCACAGTATTCAGAGTATAATAAAACATTTCTCGTTGCGTTTGGTCATTTCATTTTACTTTTTTTTATTACTTCGTATGAAGAGAAAGTTATTTTAATAGTGCGCCGGAAGTGAGCTATTTTCCAACAGAAAAACTCTGAACCAGGTCCTGGTAACGAAAAAGTGGATAAATCTTGTTCCAATATGAAGTAAATCACTTTCTCCAACACGTTGTGTAGTCAGTTTACATGTTTTGAAGAATATGATGCCTTGATACCGAAAAATCGATTGATGGTGAAACGTCTGTCCGTCCGTCCGTCTTTCTGCCTCTGTCAACACTAGCGCTTAAAACCGTTGAGACGATTTTCTCCAAAATTCTTATCTCCCCATCTATCTGAACGATCTCAAGGTCCTGATAGTTTAAAACGGATATTTTGATTTTGAGGGGCACTTCCCAAGAACCTTCAACATTTTCAAAAATTTTCTAAAAAATGGACCCAAATGTTTTATAAAATTTTGTCCTCCTATAGCGTAAAGAATGCTTAAAATAATTGTGTAGGCCTCATTTTTGTTCTAAACCGTCGTTTAGAAAATTGAAAACGTTCGAAATTTTTTCGGTGTTTTTCTACAACTATAATATTGAAGATAAATATTTTTTACTTAATGAAATTTACTCTTTGAAGACAGAAATTGAAATAAGGTTTTGTACAATGTT